GGGATCGAGTCCCACATCGGGCTCCCTGCTCCGCAGGGAGTCTGCTTCTCCCTATGACCCTCCTCCCTCTCATGCTCTGTCTCTCATTCTCTCTCTTTCTCAAATAAATAAATAAAATCTTTAAAAAAAAAAAAAGAAAAGAAAAAGAAAATAAGTTGCAGACATCTTGACATCTTACCCCTAAAGGATATTCTGCTATACAACCAAGGTATCATTATCATGCCTAGGAAATTTAACACTGATATAAAAATACTATTTAATACATAGCCCATATTCAGATTTCTCCAACTGTTCTATAAATGTTCTTTATCGATTCTCCCCACCCCTAATCCAGGACCGTCCACTGATGCCTGCACTGCATTTGATTGTCCTGTTCCCTGACCACCCCCCCTTTAATCTGGTACACCATGTCCCCAAGTGTTTTTTAAATGTTTTTTTTTTTATTTTGGTCTTTCATGACATGAACAATTCTGTCCCAATTTAGTTTTTAAAATTTCCTGGTATCTGAAACCCAAACGTCTACAAACAAATGTTTTCTACTTAGAGTCTTCTACAATCTTTAGCAGAGCGTGTGCACTGAAATACCTGTATCCTGACAGACCATTCATGTAAAAAAATAAATCATGGGATAGTTCAATTTCACACACAGAGTTCATGGTCATTCTACTTTAACTCACCGCTGAGTCTGAGCAGGCCACGGGGTCTGGTTTGGCGTGGGCACTGAATTCGTGGGACTCACTAGCATGGCACTATAGATATTAGAAGCGACCACGAGTATGCAGAGAAGTATGGGCCCAATGATTGCTCCTTCCAGGCCCAAGTAGTAAGCCCCGCCAGCCACTGCCAAGCCTGTCAAGTAAGGATGCCCACCTCTGGAAGAAAGAGCATACAGATTAGCTCATGGCTTTTAACAAACATAAACCTTGGAGTAAATCTGAAACACATCTCTAACACTATGTTCATTCCTAACACACCAGGCCTTTGATTGCATGACCAGCTTTCTTTAGATTACTTCAGTGCAGATAACAACGTTGGTTGTAATAATACTGAGATGCAAGCATTTTCTTACCTATGTAACACATACAACATCTGCCTTTTTATAAGGTCCATCGATGGAGGGAGTGAAGTCAGACTGTTAGCAGATATCCTACACCCATTACATGGATGCCTGACCTAGGTTAGTGTTGGCTGAGGAGTGGTTACAAAAGTCACATGTTAAGTTTACTTCCAACAAGAATAGTTAAATGGGCACAATTTACATATAATTCAAATAATTACGCTTTTTATAAAGCAATACAATAGCATCCACATTATTCATAGGTTAGACTTGTGGCAACATCGTAAAATAGTTTTTAAACACGGGTAATGATAAAGGGCCTCATGAAGAAACTATCCGTCACAAAGCCCAAGATTTCTATCTCACAAGAGTCATAACTGTCCTCCAGCTTATCACAGGATCACTTACATAACCCGAATACAGTAAGAGGTTACAGCAGCACCGCACAGTGATAACAATAACAAATGACCACTAACATAAGAGGGACTGGGAAAGACGGTATGTTCTATTTCTAGTTTTCAAACACAGGTGACTGGAACAATTTACTGTGGGGCAAATAACTCTGGAATAATGTTCTGTACTATGTTACAGTTCAATAAGTAAGATTTAAGGTGAGGTAGTCTTTAGGAAACTAATACACTATATTCATAATCTATCTTCCTCACTCTAAAAAAAAAAAAAATTTAGGGCAGTATTCCACATATGTATGCTATGTAAGTAAGCTTTTTCCCTAAAAATATACTTCTAAAAATTTCCTATCAAAAATGCTTAAAGCTGGGGAGCCTGGGTGGCTCAGTCGTTAAGCGTCTGCCTTCAGCTCAGGTCATGATCTCAGGGTCCTGGGATCGAGCCCCGCATCAGG